TAGTGATTTGTCAGCACAAGAAAAAACTTTCATTCTGTTGGAAAATTTTCTTGAACCACAATATTTTATAATATATAATATTCGCCGCATACGAACGCTTTTTCGATCCGTTTACGACTGTTCATAGGCGATCGACAATTTCAAGCGATAAAGTACTCGAAAACGAATCGTAAACGGCTATCATAAACGACATTTTAGCCGGTTTTTATTCGAGAAAATATCCAGTTTCGAGTTCGTTTACGATGATTTTGCTGGCTGGGTCAGTATGTATGTACATACATACATAAATATGTATTAAAAGTAGTATATCGCGTATGCATACATATCATTGCAAAACTTTGTCCCATAGTTCTTTTCTTATTCAATATAAAAAAAATTGGTCATTCGAAATCACTTATCTTAGTTGTACTCATAGTAGTAACAATATGCAGCTTCTGCTGACTATAAAGGTGTTGTATTGAATACAATTTGTCAATAAACAGTGACCGTAGATATTTAATGATAAAAGTATTTTTGTAACGTAAACAATTTAATAATCCAGTGAAAAGAACCCGAAGGATTTAGGAATTCAGCGATTAATTTAAGGATAATCGTAACACTACTTACAGTATCGACATTTAAGCATTCTTTGGCTAATTCCCTTTCTTTATGAAAGTGTAGCTCGTTATCTAACAAAAACCATGTTAGTAAAAATTTCAAATTTTTTCTTTAAACATTCTGAGTATGCAGTTTTAGCCCATCCAATTTTAATGAAGTGAAAATTTTAAGTAACTAAGACTTACTATTGATTTTTGGAATTTTTTTTTGTGGAGATGATACGGATTTTCTCCATACAAAAAAATGTTCGAACATACTTTATTTGGAAGAAAATGCGTGAACAAAAAATTGTCAAAAATTAACACTTGTCAGCTACTTCAAATTTGAACTTTATTATGCTAAAATTTAAAAAACTGCCTGATTAACAGTTTAAAATTTTCATGAACATTTGTTAAAATTTCGAAAAAACTAAAAAGATACTAGCCGATGCCGATTCATCGGTCGGACTGTAATTGAGGCGTCCTCTCTTCCACAGACTCTCATACGGTGGTCAGCGAATTGCCGGAGTGGTAGACACTCGGCAGTAATTTTTCGAGATGAAGCATCCAAGCCAAAAAAAAATTAAGCAGAAGGTTCCCCAGGCCCCAGCAACCTAGCCTAAAAATCACTGGATCCTAGTGCATACGGACCATAAACGGTATTCTCAAGCTACACCAACCCCCGACCTGTGAATGCCGTTTCAGGAGTAAAACCACCCGCTGTTGATTGGACAGAACTTCGTCTGCCCTGAGAGACCAGCACAACCCTCGTCAAACTTCGCTTTGGATACTGCAGCAGGTTAAACTCTCACCTGAGCGGGATTGATCAACATGTCGTCGCCTGGGTAAAAGATTGTCGTATGTTAATTTCGCCAGGTTGTGGGAAATCGCGATTGAAGTTTGGAATGCAATTTCCAAAGTCTCTGAAGATGTCACTAGTTCACAAAATTCTTAAATTATTTAATTTTTAATGTTTATTGTTAATTACTTTTGAGTTTATGAAGGATTTTCTTTAGTAAAATTTTGTCGTAAGCGTCATTTGTCCACAATTTGGCAGCCACTTTGTATGAAATACGACAAAATGTGATCAAAATTTCTGCCAAATTAACGACACTTTTTATTCAATATCTCAGAAACTAAAGGAGATATCCAAAAATGGAGAACGTCATTTTAAAGATATTGATTAGTATAGTATGACTGCATCACCAACTAAATTTTTACAAAATTATCGAAAAAGTTGTAGTCAATCAGCCCTGTTCTGCAATCCGATTCGAATCGGAATCGGATTTGTTTCCGATTGTTGGTTTTCTGCATTCCGACAATCGGAAATTATTTCCAATTCCGCCTTGTTCTACATTTCGATCCACTTCGAATCGGAATTCTATCGGAAATTTGATGTTCTGCATTCCGGTTATCGGAAATTTTTTATCGAAAATGTTGCGATCAGCTAAAAGCCAGTGGAATAGAAAATAATCAAAACGAAAAACAAAAATATAACTGTTAACGGTCAAAGGAAAAATTTTATAGTCAGCAAACAGCAAAGAATGTAAGTAAAGAAAATAAAAGTGGTAATTATTAAAATTAAAATTATTAAAATGCAGGGGAAAGCACAAGACGGCGGAGCAAAGCAAAAATAGGTTGGATTTCATGGAAGTAAATCCAGACATAGCCAAAGGCTTCTTCAAAGGATACAAATTGGCTCTTGAGGAAAAGTGGCGCCAACTAACGGAGTCGTTGAATAGCCAAGGACCATCAATAAAAAACATAAATGAGTGGAAGAAGGTAAAATATTATTGTGATTACAAGGATAACTATAATATTTAGATTTTTTGCAACTAGACCTGGACTGACTGGAAATGTGAAACCGAAAACGAGTTTTAAGAACCCCAATTGTTCGTTCAACTATATTACGTGCCGAAGAATGTGTTTTGTTAAACTCGTGTTGTATAGACCGTGGTTCTGGAAAAGGTGCCAGAGCATACCCGGCATCGCCCAATAACCACGAATTGTGATCACCATCTCGATACTTCGTCATGACAAACTGTCTTGCATTGCTCATGCTCCATATAAAGGATTCATGGCTAGAACTGGGATTACAAGCATCAATAGCTCTAGTAACCATATTATGATCGCAAATCTGAAATACATAAGAAACAAATTTTACGAAAACTTTTTTCCATATAAAATCCACTAATTGTGGCAACTTACAATCATTGCATTAATGCTAAGGTTTCCTTTTCGGTTAAAAAAGCAGACCCCTCTTGTGGTTCCAATAGCTTGATGTGCGTGCCGTCAATACATCCAGTCACAACCGGAATACCAAATTGTTCGTAGAAAGAACTTTTGGCGGCTCTTTTCTCTTGATCAGGCATGAACAATTTTATCCGAGGAATCGCAGCGCTGCTGCCAACTTCAACACTGCGGGAATGGAGCTTCTTTGTACAAAAGGCTGCAAGTCTCTCAAAATCATGAGGAACGTTTGTTTATTTATTCTATAGGGTGCAATAAAGCTATAAAATATAAATTAATAGTTTAAAATGGCGTTAGTATATAAAAAAAAAACTTTTTATACTACTAACGCTGAGTCCGGTAATTCCATGCGATTGCAGTATTCGCGCAAATTTTTCGCTTCACTTTTTCAGATGTTTGCTGCTCATTATTCAGCAAAATCGCCAATAAAACAATTGAACTCATATTTATTTTCTCGGTTTTATTTACCCAAATGAAATTGACAACCTTCAAAACAAAGTTGACAGATTGGAGGTTTGTTCCTTTTTTTACACAATCGGATTCGATATTAAGTTCCGATCGGATTGTGGAACACCATTCCAATTCCGAGTCGGAATTGAATTCCGATTCCGATGCGATTCTGACTCGGATTGCAGAACAGGGCTGAATATCTCGGAAACTAAAGGAGATATCTAAAAACTGATAACACCAATCGAAAGACCTTATTTCAAAATATATAACTGTATTATAACTAAAAATCGTCAAAATGGCGCTTACGACAATATTTTACCCAGGCGACGATGTGTCCAACGCATGTCCGGCATGCGGAGAGTCATCCCATCACTCAACCAGGCTCTTCGGACGCCCGCAAAACCCCACTCAACTAACGCCCCTCTCCCTCTAGTCCAACCCAGTCAGGTTGGCACGCCTTTTGAGCCACCCGCAAATAGTTGGTTGTGGTTTCAAGTTCTCCAAACATTTATTTACGCTTTTAAAGTTTACGACATACAACAACACGACACTTACGATACCGTTGTGAATCCCCCAATAATTTCTTAAAGCCCTTTCATTTGACATCCATCGTTAATATTTCATATAACTTGGGTATAAAATAGTTCAATTAGACTTCTCAAATAGGTGGCAACCCTGTTCAAAATATTTCTAAACTACTATTTTCTTAAACCTCTTTGGTATGACACCCATATAAACCTTATTCACTTACCAAATTCCTTGAATTAAAATTGAATTACATTTTTTTTAACACGTGGCAACCCCCCTATACGTAGTTAAGTTATAAAGCCTTTTCAAAACCATTTCGATTGATACCCATATTTAATAATTGATTTAACTTTTTAATTCATTTGCGCTTAATTTCTTAACAGGTGGCAACTTTTTTCGAAAAAGTAAAACCTTCAACATCCACACTCTAAGACCTTTAATTTGGTACCTCACTTTTGAAAATCGAATGGACGGTGCGGATCTGAGGGCATTGATTAGTAAATAACTTGAGTTTAATTATTTAACAGGTGGCAACTCCTTTCGAAAAAATAAAACCAGTTTGCACATCTAAAGGCCAAGCGCTTAATTTGATACCCCACTTTTGAAAATCGAACGAACGGTGCAGATCTTTTATGCTACACAAAAAATGCCTTCGCGTATTATATATATAGATATCCTTTTTCGGAGCCTTCGACCATAACTTTTTTTAGCTTTTAAATAAAAGTATAAACTTTCAATTAAACGAAATTCCACTTTATTAAAATTAATTCATCAATAATTTTTACATTAATAAAAATAAATTTAGGTAAATATTGTTTTGTTTTAGTTTTACTCTCTTTGTAAATTCGATATACATGTATTGTATGTATGCTGGAGCGTATAAATAAAATAATTACAATATTAATAATTATAGTTGATATCATATAAAACACATTCACAATTATGTGTGCCGATTACGCTTAATTTGTGTTATCCTCACTGGTTTATATGATGCGTGTGCGTGTGTGTATGAAATGTTCAACTTCATGGCAGCCGCACATATGTACATAGTCATATACTCGTGCTAACAAATAACATAAAGCTAATGCATGTATAAAAAAATGCAGTTCAACAAAAATTATAAAAAATATACTAGACATACATACAATGAGCGGTATGGTATGAGGAAAAGTGGATTATTTATAAAAAAAAAATATATATATATAGTAAATTGTATATTTTTATAACCTCGTTGCAATAAAAAATATTAATAAAAATTCGTACTTAATCTTGATGGAAAGAGCACTAACTAAATTACGAAGCAGCACAAGAGGAAAGTAATTGTGCAAGAAAGTAAGTAAATCAAAGGGTTAGACGATGACTATGTAAAATAAAATGAAATTCTGCATACATGCGCTCATAAAAAAAGAAAGCTACAAATGGGAATATTAATACGGTAAATGTATTAGTGAGCAGGAGACACTTCTCTGATTATTTCGGCGTTTGATTATAGGGACGTTTTCGCGTGTAAAATGTTTTCCTATACACATTTGTTTTTTATAAAATTTTATAAATAAAATATTTGCATTGGCATAATGCTATATCGAAATTTCTATTGTGCCCACACTCTTTGTGTAGATTTGTTTTGTTTAAACATTGGATTGGTATTCATTAAAATTATTTTTAAACATGTATGTAGGTATACAGGTGTTTTGTAATTAAATCTTGACGCAATTTTTGCGTTACTTGCCTTTTGTTACATTTACTTTCGCCATTATGGTTTCTCTTAGTTTCTTCATTTTTTAATTGATTTCGTATATAATATTGAAGGCCAGTATTGACGATTTAATGTTTTTTAGTTGGTTTAGGTGTGTTACCAACATATGTAATAGCTTTTTCTGTCTTTACTTTCGATTTTAGTAATACTTAATGCAATAATGTAATTGATATTGACTATATCTAACTGCTAGTATAGGTAAGTATTTAGTAATTTAAATTGCTATTTGATGCGACTTCAGCGTTATTGAGTATCTCAATAGTCCATAGCATGATTGGTGAAGAAGAAATGTTAAAGCACATAATAGATTGACTATGTCTCCCAAGTGCCTGTTTTCCTTTTTTTTTTTGGTTTTTGGTTAAATGGTTAAAACATGTTAATTGTGTAAATTTAAAATTGCATAAAAGAGTTCTGAGGCGATAAGACTCCACGGAAAGCGTTTGTTTCATATCTAAAAGAATAAAGAGAGAATATTATAATTTATAATAAATTCACTATAACTACTTATTCATCTAATTGGAAAGTAGAAAATTATCTTAGCGCAAAAAAAAAAACGAAAAAGCAATAGAGTTTAGATTGGTAATGTATAAAAGATAGTTGAACAAGAAATGTTCAGCATTTACTGCTAATTTGCTGGAAAAACGTCCCAATTAAAGCGAATATTTTTATGCAAAATAAAACTACATACATGCGTATGTACCCATTACATATGGCTTAAAACTAAAAAAATTGGCTTCAAAAATTGTTATTTTATTATTAAAATTTACTTATCCCAAAACAGTAAAAACTGTGTTTATTTCCAACCTTTTTTCAACCCTTATTTATACTAAGCACAATTTATTACTTCTTTAAACCAAGTGTCCCATAGTCCCATACCTAAGAATAACCGTAATCAAGGAAATTCAAGCATAAAGGACCCCTAAAAATTTCGCAACGAGATGGAAACATGAGCATGCAGTTTATTTAGATGTTTCATCGCAGGTGAAATATTTGGCAAGACCCCCGTTTGTGCGGATACCACCTGAAATTTGTTGCATATATATATGCGAATAAATAACATTTTTAAGTAGAGTAGAATAAAAGAATATCGTTGGCTTAGTATGCAAACGTGGTAAGGCCCTTTTTATTTTTCAGGAGGGACAAAAAACCTTCTAACTATTTTTTTTTGCTAATATTTTCCTAATCTGTAAATTCAGTTTTCTTCCTTAGTTCGTCTTGTTTCAGTACAAAAAATTTCAATTTCAAAATAAAGCTATGGCAGACTTAAGGCGCTTTTGGGACTTACCACATTTTCTCTTCATGATTTTGTTCTTTTAATGTGGACTTGGCACATTTTTTATCAACCTGTTTTTCAGTTTTTGGAGTGAAACTTCTTACACGAGTTCGGAGATGGTTGCGTTAAATATTTAACACCAAGTCATAAAATCGGTATCGTTCGTTCGATTTTCAAAAATGAGGTGTGACATGAAAGGTCTCGTCCTTCGGGTGTGCAACTTAGCTTTAGTTCCATGAAAGGAGTTGCCACATATTAGAAAATCGAATTTAAAATTTCTCTGCCGCAGAGGGTTGCGCTAAATATTTAAACACCGAGTCATAAAATCTGTATCGTTCGTTCGATTTTAAAAGATGTGGTGTCAAAAATGAAAGGGCACCTGTAGATGTGTAATATGATTTTAGTTTTTTAAAGGGTTGCCATATATACGAAAATCAAATGCAAATTATTTATTAAAATAAATAAGGTATCCCAATGGGTATAAAAAGAAATCGTTTTGAATAAAGATGAAAATGAATGATAAAGATGAAGATAAAGATAAGTAGACTGTTATGATCGACCTGTATTTCTCGCAGGAGATTTCAACGTCAACTTTTCGCTGACCAAATCTGACGAACTGACAAAATTTTTGGAAGAAAAATTTTCAGTGGATATGATAAATGGAAGAAGTGATCAACAACCAAAGGAGCGGCATTGATGCAGTTTTTTATTATTAAATTAAATATTAATATTGAGACAAAAGATTTCATATCTTACTTTACAATCTACTAGTTAATATTGTAGATATGGATGTTTTCTCAAGCACAAATAATAATTAAACTTTGCAGTTGGTAATACTAAAAAATTAAAGGTCGTTAAAAAAAATTTAAAATATGTTTTTTGTGTATTAGAAAATATGTACTTGTGAATGTATATCGCATATTTCTTTCTTTCTCCACTCTATTCCTCTATTAAGTTTCACTTCTTCTGCGCGTAGTGACTACACGCACTGAGTTGTTTTGTTATTGTTAAAGGATTTAGTTGTTTATTTTAAATATATTTTATTGTTACAAAATGAATAATAACCTAATACAGTCTTATTTCATTGCTGTTACCAAAAAATAACTATTTTAAATCGTAAATTTACGTACCATTTATAAAGCAAAATAATTAAAAACTACCGGAACCGAGCTTTATATACCCGGTACAGGTAGCGAATATTGCCGTTTCAACTTTCTCTAAACTACCCGATTTCAAACGTTTTCGATAATATGCTGAGTTAAGACACAACGATATAATAGAACAAAGTTTGGTAGAAATCGATAAAGTGGTTACCGAGATACACCTTTGTAGTCATAAAGTAGCCGGTGCCACGCTCCATTCCTAAGAGTCTATAGCTGTCTTATAGGGAATTTACATGATTCAACTGTCACAGGCGATTAGTTGAACAAAAAGTTGAACGAAAGTAGGCAGCCGACCAACTTCATTGAAAGCGATTAGTTGAAAGGCCGTTTACACCAGGCGATTGTTGCATTCAACTAAAAATCGCCTGAAAAATCGCCTCATGTAAATTCCCTATTATTTATTGCTGTGAGTAAATATTAACTTGGGGTAAATTAGCGTATTCAGTTATTGAAATATGAGAGTTTCCGTATTTTTGAAATTTATCGTTAGATATACGGGAAGCGTAGATTAGAATTATTTTCAACGAATTGCTTTTCCGTACCAAGGTTATTAAGTGCACCGAGTAAGAACGACATTACGGTAATTTTTTTTGTAATGATGTATTTTGAGTTGTGCTATCTTACTGCATTAAAATCCGATTTTCATAAATAATGGACTTAGCACGTTTGCACACTAAAGGCCGGTCCACATAGAACTTTGGCGTTGGCGTTGATTAACAGCTGACTATGAATACACACAATTATATGGACATGTCCACATATCAACGGCAACGCCAACGCCAAAGTTAACGCACACAAAAAGATGGGCATCTCTCATCTTTTTGCGCGTGTTGTCAATCAGCCGGTGCAAATAAATAAAATTATGTGAAATGTTTTTAATTTTTAATCAAATGTAGGTAAGAAATATCATTTTTCATGCAATTATTGATATGAAATATTAATTTATCTGTCGTTAGTATGTAAATCTAGTGCTCAAAGTATTCGCTGCAAAGCGTTCATTGTAGCAAGCATACTTTTTACGTGCGTTCTGTCAAACTAACGCCAACGCCAAAGCGCGAAAGTTCTATGTGGACTAGGGCTGATGATTTCACCCGGGTAATGAGCTACCCGGGTACCCGGGTAGCGGGTGAAGCCCTACCCGGGTATTGAATTACCCGGGTACCCGGGCACCCGAAAAAATGTGGAGAGGTGAAAATTAAACGCATTTACGATCATATAACGCAAACGAACGTACATAGGGAAAATCTATAAGAATCTTCCGTACCATATGGGGAAATATTATAATATACAACACATACATTGCGCTTGACAAATCCGTCATTCATCACACAAGCGTACTTCCAAACCCAGCTTGTTTTAGGCATGTCTAAAATATTAATATTTACGAAGTTGGTAATGCACGTACAGATATCGGATCGGTAACAAATAAAATTATTGAGACACACCCACCTGCGAATCTAAACGATGACCGACAGTTGAGGCAATTTTTGTGTTGGAATGAAAAAAATTTTAAAATTTCTTCCACAATTATTTCACAACAATACGTTCATCAACCTACTTCTCGTATTAAGGAAACTTCATTAAATAATTGTGATTTTAAAAGCTTTAAATATTATGAGAAAAGAAACTATAATTTGAACAAGCTGATACAATAAAAGTACAAAATCTTTAGGTGAATGAATAGCATAAGGCTTTGTTACCTTACTTTTTGTACCAGAAGTGGCCTACCACAGGGTTTAGTCTTATATAATTCCCAATGAGAACGTTCTCGTCAGTTTTGTTCTCATTTTGGTTTTGGTTTTGACGCGTTCTTGGGAACAAAACTACGACAATGGCATTTAGTTTCGATCATACATTTCGTTCTCAGTCCCTGTTTTAAAATATTAATATTTAATATTCTTTAAAATATACATACATACATACATATGTACACATGCATGTATGTATATGCATTTACAAAAATTAGAAGTTTGAATTTAAGTACAGAAACTAATGTTTTAATTTACTTTTCTTGTCTCCGTCTACTCAGGCAAGCGGTTAGGTGTACATAGTCGCGTACACTCTAGACATAAAAAAATAATTATAAAAAAAAATTTTCTCACTGAAAAAATATTTATCCTCACCAAAAAGATTATACAAGAAGCTTTATGTCGCATTACCCGGGTGTTTTTCGTTTAACCGGCACCAACATATGTATATTACCCGGGTACCCGGGCAAATCGGGTAATACCCGACTACCCGGGTAATAAAAGCCCCGGGTAATACCCGGGTAATCGGGTACCCGGGTACCCGGGTATCATCAGCCCTAATGTGGACCGGCCTTAAGTCAGCGATATGTGTTTTTTCTAAAAGTGCAATGGAATTATTAAAATATGCCGTAAAAGCGGTTGAAATACATTATTACCCGACTTAACCCCACGAAAGTAGTAGTAGTGCTGAGGTGATTCTACCTCATCATACTTCAATCAGCTGCAGCAGCAAGGATCAAATATGACTTTTAGACTTACACCGTGAATTCCGATCGCAAAATGGCCTGTCAGAACCCCCACCAAAAGCTTTGCAGCATAAATGGTCTTTTTGACTACCATCGATCCACTCTGGGCCAGAAGTGCCTTGCAATTGTGCATATCGTACTTTTCATCAAGTTCATCTCTCCAAGAGTGAATGAATCATCCGATTCTATAGGTTAAAAGCTGCACCTTCTCGTTAGCTCGTCACCGATACACTTTATTGCAATGTTACTGTGGATGGTCTCTATTTTATTTACGTATTCTGCCAAAATTAGTGGTATTACTTTTCCGGAAGGTTGGTAATAGTAATCATAGTCGGTTTGGATTACATCTACTAAGCGTAAGCTATGGCTCCATTTCTTCTATAAAAGCTGTATTTATCTCAGCCAGTCATAACCGGTATTAGGGCGGGGTAAACAATAAAGGTCTGTTTAACATTTGAAGCTATAGCAAATATATTGGCTGCATGACATTACGCAAATCATAGTTTGCCTCTGACTTGGCCAGAGATTTGAATAAACTGATAAGATTTGTAAAATTAAAGTTGCAATTTTTTCTACATTTCAAGTGTTGTATTCTGGGAATATAAATCGATTTTGTGCAAGGTACAAATATTAACTTTAGAAAAATTAATCGAATTAAGAAAAAACAATAACTAATTATAGAAATAAACTGAAAAATTATATAAATTTAAAAGCGCAAAAGAAATAAAGGCTATGACAACAAATCGATAAGCATTTAAAGGGAGGAATGTGCCAGTCTGTTCTGCACTCACATTTGATTCATCGGTGTTATGTGCTGATGGTCCACGCGCACTCATTAAATTAATGCCATCTGCTGACATTGCTATCGCTGTCGCTGAAGCCATTAAGTCTACAGCCGAGGTGGACTCCGCACCAGAACCAGTTGGACGCAAGGCTGCACGTTTGGCAACAATTTCTAGCATTTCATTAAGTATAGCACCCTCAGCTGCAACATCTGCGGAACTTTTGTCCAATTCTGTAGAAAATAAAAAAGAAAATTTTCAATGCATCGTTTACATTCGAAAAACGTACTCATTGAAAATATCAATGGTAACTGATGAGTATGTATATTAGGCTGGGTCGATTTTGTATAGGGGAAAATAAAAGGAGTTTGATCGTATTGTAATAGTAATATTATGACGTCTTAGGTCTAAGCCAATTGTTATTGGCCACGAAAGATTAATTTAAAACTTATATTTAGCCCGCACAATTGAATCAAAGTCTATGAATTTCGAAAATGAAACTTTGGCTTGTAATATCTATGGAATGCGTTAATTGTTATAAACAGGATGATATATCAAATTAAGGGCTATTAAATTTACTACCCCACGTCCATTTATCATTTTTCAATAAGTCGACAGGTTTTTAAAATATTAAGATAAAACTTACAAAAGTATAATTTTCCCTTATGAATTTTCAATTCTTCATTACTTCAGCAACCAAGTGAAAAATACGAAAAAGTGAGACGACATTTATTTCAAACGTTTTAAAGTTTTTGGATGTTTATATATTCTTAAAAGGACCATGGACTTGGTCACGCAGATTTGGTCAGTTTTCAAGATCGTCCTGAATGTAGTCAAACATGTATTGTCCAAGGTTAGAAATCGGTTGATAAGTTAATAGTAGTTTCAAGCACATTAGTATTTACATACATTAACAAAATACAAAAAATACAAAATTCCCATTTTAAGTCCATTTATGCAGTCTTGAAAATCGGAGCGGAATGGTTTCATTAGTCCCCGAAGAAGCACATTTTTGCGGTTTCTAAATTTGCCGTTATATGAAAGTAGGGGACGTGCAATAAGTGTTTAGATATAAATATTTTAGTTAATTCCATTATGTGAAAAAGTGAGTGTAGGTAAATACAATAATCCTTAACATATCCTAGGAAATCCTTTTTAGGACTCTCCAATTGGACGATATTGCAATGCATTCAGCTTGAACGAAAAAAGTCACTCCTTGGCACACTTTTCTGTAACCCGGTTCTTGTAATTAAAAGTTATTTATACAAATGAAGATTTTTTTTAGAAAAAAACTGGAGATCCACTTAAGTTTTTCGATATAACTTTGGTAAATGTTACTCGATCAGTACGTAATATTTACCAAATTGAAGGGGAGACTTACCGTTACTGATTTATGATAATAATATGATGAAAATCGTTCAGATTATAAACAAATTATTTTATAATAAAAAAAAATTTTAAACAAATTTTTTTGTCATTTTCCTATGTTTGCAATTTTTATATTGTATGCATAAACCTAAGTGAAATAATTAGTGTTTCTAGAAGTTGTGCCTTTTCAGTGTTTCCATACTCATTTGCAGGGAACGGATTTTTAGGACCTAAAAACTTATAAAAAAGGCAAAATAAAGTAACGAAATAGGCTGGAAAAGGCAAAATAAAATAGCGAAATAGGCAGGAAAAGGCACTAGGTATTGCAAATAAGGCAAAACAAAATAGCGAAAAAGGCAGGAAAAGGCACTAAAAAAGACAGAAAATACGAAGAACAATCAAAAAATATATTTATTTTAGAAATGCTTATATTACAAGTAAAAAGAGAAGAACTATGAACTAGTTTCATTATATGAAAAATTTGTACTTTAAGGGCCGCGGTTACTCAATGTCTGGTTAACGCTAATCTCCCGTTAAACATAGTTATCGACGTTACCGACTCCCTGTTGTATGCATGGAGTCGAAGACGTCGATAACGATGTTTAACCGCAGATTAGTGTTAACCAGACATTGAGTAACCGGCCCTGAATCTTTGACTATTTTATCCTTTCGAGTTTCTAACTCATAAAACTTTAATCTGTATAGTTGTAGTAACATTGAACCACAAGATGCATTTTAAAGTTTTCTGGCAGCATTTTCATTAGATTTTCGCCTGGCAGCATTTTCATTAGAAAAGCCTTGAATGTACTAAATGTGTGCTCGACGTAAGTTGATACAAGTGGAGCACAATTTAAATATGGAACGTTTGAAACGTTCATATTATCAGAAATAAGGGCGTTTTCCTCGCGATTTATAATTTTATCCACACCCCTTATTGTCTTCAAGCCTACGTTAGCTGAGAAAACAACGGCTTTGAATTTTTTCAACACCAATTTGGCAAGAAGTCCCTATGCTTCTATAAGCCGCATGGGCATGTGTATATTTTTTAATCTTAAAAAATAATTGTAAATGCTTTAATCACTTTTTTAAAGGTAGAAAAGGCCAAAAAAGGCAAATATCATTAAAAAGGCAACTTCAAATGTTTATATATGGAATCAGGGAAAGCTAAATCGTGGACATTCTTAATCGAATATACTCTATCTCCTTAGCAGAAAAAAGGCAATTTCCATAAAATCCGTTCCCTGCTCATTTGCATAAACAAAATTTTTCCACGATGATGGAAAATAATGTCTTTTCTATTCGAGCTACCGAAATTGTTCCTAAATTTGCAGAAATTCGCAAACTATAGCTAATATTAAAAAAAGATTAGACTATTTGGAACCAGCGACCTAAATGCACGCGAGCAATATTAATGATGTTCTTTATATCTTGTGACTATAGGCCAGTGGAATTATCAAGAGAACAATTAAAATTTTATTGAAAAAGATAAATTTGAGATTAACGGTAAGCTAAAGAGCTGCGAGAAATGATATTTGACTTTATCTTTTTCGTTAACGGATTCATTATCTAGTAATATGCACCAAACCTTTTTGCTGAACCCAGAATTTTCAACAAAAATTGAACTTACTCTACTAGTGTGCTGTGGGTCACTTGGCGGTCGATGCGCGGGCTCTTACAATTAAAATAAAAGACTAATATTTTGCAGGCTTGTTGTTGATTTCATGATACAATAAATTTTCGCTATTACCAAGGGATTTGAGAAAAATTAGACTTTCGACCCGTCCTAATGTATATTCATGCAGATATCCAAAATTATTATTTTTTGTTTCAAACAGTATTTAAATACATACATAATTATGGCCACTTATAGGGGAAACTCAATTTCGCTTTCAAATACAAATTCATAATAAACTTAAATGATCCAACGTGTCGTCCTCGGCAACAAAGCTTTTGCCGGAAATATCGCGATCGTATCTATCTATATAAATAATACGCGAAGGGATTTTTTGTGCAGCATAAAAGATATGTACCGTTTGACCGATTTTCAAAAATGAGATGTCAAATTAAAGCGCTTGGTCTGTAAATGTGCAATAAGGTTTTACTTTTTTGAAAAGAGTTGCCACCTGATAAAAAATTGCATTCAAATAATTTAATAATCAATGCCATCAGATCCACACCGATCGTTCGATTTTCAAAATTGAGATGTCAAATCAAAGGGCTCTGACTTTAGGTGTGCAATAAGGGTTAACTTTTTCGAAAAGAGTTGCCACCTTTTAAAAAATTAAGTTCAAAATACACGAAGGCATTTTTCCGCATAAAAGATCTGCACCGTTCGTTCGATTTTCAACTGATGTGCAAACTGGTTTTATTTTTCCGAAAGGAGTTGCCACTTGTATAACAATTGATTTGATTTTCCAAAATAAGGTGTCAAATTAAAACTCTTACGGTTTTACTTTTTTAAAAAGAGCAGCCATAGGTATCAGTCGAAATGGTTATTAAAAGCTTTGCTTCTTTACTGTGAGTGTTGCCCCTGTTTAAAAAAATTGAATTAAATTTTAAACAGGGAAATTACATACGTAATTTACAAAATGTGCCCCCACAGCTGGACCCCTGGACTAAAGGAGTTTAAAAAGGGTGGTAATTTGACAAGGGTTGCCACCTGCTTTAAAAGCCGAATTTAGTTATATGCAGTATTAAATTATGGGTGTTAAACGAAAGAGTGCTAAGAAATCTTCAGTTTAAAAATCAAAATTTTGTTTGATGGTTTGAAGAGAGTTGCCAGCTGTTGAAAATTTTAAATTTATATTAGTTAAGTTTAATAAATTAAGTTAATAAATAAGTTAAACTAAATAAATTACTAAAAGAGTTGATTTAATCGTTCATGGGTTTGAGAAGAATTTATATCTGAACTGTTTAACAGAGTTGCCAGGTGATAAAAATATTAAATTAAATTTAATTCTTCAGGTAATTGAATAATGTATCAAAGTATCAGACGAAAGAGCTTTAAAGGATTTCAGTTTGAAAATGCTTCGCAAAAGGTTGCCACCTGTTTGAAAAGCCTAATTTATTTAGCTTTTACACAATTTCAATGAAATATTAAAATATGAGTGGCAAAAGAAAGAGTTTTAATAAAACTTTAGTTTGAAAATATTTTTTGTTTGAGTTGCCATCTATTCGATTTTTATTTTGAGCGATAAAGCTCGGTAATTGTGTTATCAGCCGTCTCGATGAAGTCAATTGGCCCCTTCCGAGCCGCTATTTCACGCCCTTAGACTTTTTTGTGCCATGCCGTGAAGGACCGAAATAATGCGAACAATCTATTAACGATTCAGGCCTTTAAGGCGTACGTCGGGCATTTCTTACGATAGAGCCAGCAACTATCAACAAGGTCTTGGAGAACTCGGCTAACAGGATGCGCTACTGGGAGGACAGTCACATGATGAAATCGGGTTTCATAACTAATCGGAATATATGTTCTTTCGAATAAACCCATAATATACCGAAAAAATTAGTTTGAGTTAATTTTTACAAATAAATAATTTTTTTGTTATGGTCATCAGATCTTTAATGTGAAGGTCATCAGATCAGCACCGTCATTCTAAATGTGCATTAAGGTTTTATTTTTTGAAGTTACGACCTTTTTTAGCGGTGCACGGTGGTTTGAATATTGAGGAAATGAAAAACCGACGCTATTTGAAACCTCCCTTCGTTCAAAATCAATTTTGGAGTCTTAACGCCATGCGGGTTCACTAGTCAATTTCTGATTACCAGGCAACTCGCGTGATCGAATCGTTTTCTTGTTACTTTATTATTCAGCCTCATTGCGACAGTCGTGTTGAATGCAAGTCGTTATTCGAATTCGTATCGAAAATTACATATCATTGCCTAAAACTTCGACTCGAATAGTGTGTTAAAACGGAAAAACTTGGCAGCACTGCATAGTTTTCGACGATTTTCTTCGACTACTTATTTCAGCACGACAGTAGAAAATGAGAGTGTTGTTGAGTCGTACAATTTAGCCTAATTTACAATTTACGCAATGAGGCTGACATGCGAGACTTGAAGAATACGGCAAAATCAACTTTTTTATCTGGGTATTGGATCAAACCAATTTTTTTGGGTGATTGAGTCATAAATATAAAAGTAATATCTCCGTTTTTCGAAGTAAGCCTCCGAATCGAGATATGGGCCTTCGAAGTTCGAAATTGGACCTTTGGTAAAAAATTATTTTCAATTAATGTATGAAAAAACTAAAAAAGTAAAAATACAGACGTGGTCCGCCTTTTGCTCTTATTGAAATTGTATATGTATGACTTTTTGTGAAAACTTATATGTATTACAGGTGCTATAAGGGGTCAAAGGTCTCGTCTTCAAACAATTAAAAACTTTATATTTCAGAAAATTTTTGATCCTGACCTTTGAATACAAGTTTGCTCTAAAAAGTTATATACTATATAAAAAGGAGGCCCACGTCTGTATTTATTCTTTTTTAGTTTTTTACAATAATTAATCTCTTTCTTTCCTTTCATAGCCATATTATAATGTTTACTTTATCTTATCAATTTATTTAAACTGCAATTTTCAAACAGGTGGAAATTCTGACATTTTTTTCTCTCTTCATTTTCACTGAAATAGTATGCCCTTGATGTCGCATACTACGCGATATTGGAATCGAGTTTTTTTTAAATTATCATCTTTAGTGTATGATTTAACTCTATGCAAATTTCAAACCGTTCAACAGCTACGGTTTAATTTTTTAGAAGTATCCCCTGTTGTGAACGGCATTTAAGGCGAGCAGTGAAATAGTAGCGCATAACAAAAAAAGTCGCAAAATTGAACTTCAATTGCATATATTTTAGTTTTTGGAATAAAAAGTAAGTTTAATGACTTGGTTTGTTATACATTTAGCCGGAATAGACAAAAACGCATTTTTGTAATTTTTAATGGTACGAAGTCTGCACCGAGGTCACGAAAAACATGAAATTACTAACACCCTTATTAAAAACTGGGGAAAACATATAAAGAAGTGAACAAAATTGGTGGATGTTCAGCCTCCATGATTCGAAATACGTTAACGTATCAAAATAAACCTGAAAAACGGGATGGTAAGCAGGAATTATCAACGACTAACATACGGCAAATTATTAAATATTCGAAGACTCGTCCCAGAATGTCAGCTTTAGAAAGTTTGGATAACCTAAAGTTACCATGTAGTGTTCACACTACACAAACTTTGTGCTAGAAGTCCACGTAAAGTACCGCTTTTGAAAAAAATCATGTGATACGCAAACTAGATTTTGCCAAAAATTACCTGGATTGGCCTATTCGGAAGCGGAGGAAAATTCTGTGGACGGATGAGTCAAACATTTTTATATACGGTGGTAAAGGCTCGGCAGTTCGTAAGGCGCTCCGCAAATGTGGAATATCATTCAAGGTACACTCCAAAGACGTTGAAGCATGGAGGCCAGTATTATGGTATGGAGATGTTTTTTTCATATCATGGTGTGGGGCCCAATATATTGGATAAAAACTGTCAAGGACCAGAATAAGTAAGTACAAACAATGAAGGATGTTATGCTTCCATTCGCTAAAGAGGAAATGCCACTCAAATGGGTACTAGAGCAGGATAAAGACCCGAAGCATACAAGTAAGCTAGCAAAATTGTGGTCTCGGGACAACGGAATTGAAGTCATAGAGTGGTCAGCTCAATCTCCTGACCTCAATACTATAGAAAACCTTTAGACCAACCTTGAGAAAACCGTATGGGATGTAAAACCAAAAAAATAACCACGAACTATGGGCCGCGCATGGCAGTCAATACCTCAGGAAAGATGTCAACGCCTCGTAGACTCCAAGAGAAATCGTTATGCAGCAGTGATTAAAAACAACGGTCATGCTACCATATACTAAGTAATTGTGCTAAATTTTAGTATTAATATTAACATTTTAATACAGATTTAAAACATTTGTTGTGTACTACTATTTTCTGCTCGCAGTAGTTTCCATGAAAACACATCTTACATGAATTAATTTTTTTAGTGTTTATGTAAATAAAACTCATTTCACCCCACATTTAGTTATGAAATTGTTCTTCAGTTTTTCAATATAATGAATGCAACTATTATTTTGGTTTTCTAGTAATTTAAAAATATGTTAACCGTAAGTGCACACTACTATTTTAGTGCTCGCTGCTGTAGGTGAAAACTGCATTCAATTCTGTGTATTAGTTTTCGAGTGGTGCGCGTACAAACATACAGACAGACAAAAATTGTTGATTTGGCTTCTGTTACTCTAATAAATTAAAATCGGGAGTATTAATATCTATTATGTAGAGACATCGGCCTGTTAGAATTTTATTATGTGTATAGAAGAAGTTCATGCTTATATGAAAAAAGAGCAAAAATCCGTCCCACAAAAAAAATTCTCAAATATTAACGGGATTATTAGCCGTTTGAAACTTGCACTTCATCAGACTAAAATTGTATGGGCTATAAAACTACATACCCAAAAATGTTTTAAAGCAGTGCCGGCCCCGCGAATATTAAAACATCTGAACAGGTGTGTGTATCAAGAGCGGGAGAAGCGAAAGCATAACTTCGTGCATACATATCGTTAGCGTACGAACGAAAAACTAAAAATTTTGTATAAAGCTTGATACTGTGATTTATATGGTTTGGTTAAAGCTTGGGCGGTATTTTTTATAGAAATATAACAAAAAAGAAAATAGCTGAAAAACATTACGAATAATTAAAAAAAATCAACACGTGGTCAGTCATTTGTATGACTCATATTTTCTATTCCGATTAACGCACGCCTTGAC